CGTAGCGGAATTCCGGAATTCGTGCACAGTCCGGCTTTTCCGGAATCGCCCGGAATAGGCAGGAATTCCTGCCTATTGCGTACTTCTTCACGGACCGAGCCTCCCGCACACCCACACTATTGTGTTTGCCCATCGACCGAGCTCCCCGCGCACCCACACTATTGTGTTTGCCCATCGACCGAGCTCCCCGCGCACCCACACTATTGTGCTTGCATACCGACGAAAGGTCTCTATGTTAAGTTTTACGTAAATATCAATAGATCGAGCCATTCCGGAATTGGTAGGAATGTGCAGGAATTCCGGAAAAGGTAGGAATCGAATGCAGGGAATTCCGGTATAGGCAGGAATCGAATACAAGGCAATCCGGAATAGGCAGGAATCGAATGCAAAGAATTCCGGAATTGAATTATGTTAAGTTGGGTGAGCCAAGCGATTCCGGAATGTGTAACTTTCCGGAATAGGATGACTGCTCAAGAATCCATGAATTTCGTAGTATCTTATGATTGAAGAGAGTGATCTTTGAGACGACATGTGTTTCGATATTTTCACTTCGTATTATAACAAAATATTTGCATTCTTTTTCTATCAGAATGCAGACATTATAGATCAAATCGTTTGGGTTTGTTGTATATTTCTAGAGATCTCAGTTTGTTTGACAAATATTGAGACAACACTTCTTCCACATGCTTCTCAAGGCCGAATTTATTGTTATTCTCTCATTCGAACTCATATCTTTATTTTTTTATAACACACTTCTGCATAAGTAACTTCACACAAGAATAGAACAAATATTTTTCTCTTCTCCTTTCTGCATTATAAAAATTGAGTTTATCAACTATCATATAACGTATTTCTTTCACAAATCTGCGCATCACACAGTAAAAACTAAGATGAATCTCGCAGAGCAAGAGAATCATAATCAACAGCATCTATTACTGTCTTCATCTACTACTAACGATGATAGTACTGTAAAGACTCGACGTAGTTCATCTGTACTTATAGCAATAGAACCCGTTGTGTTATTAACGGAAGAAGTTGATGATGGCGAATCGGTAGCTACATCGAAATCATTTGCTCTATCCGGTATCCTCTACAGTCTTCTAGGATGTTTTCTCTTTTGTACAGCCACATTTACTATTAAAGAATTACAAATTGATTTACTCGATGCACTCGTCATACGTTTCATCATACAGATTTTTCTGTTTGGAATCTTTGTTATTTCTCATCACTATCCAATATGGATCGGTTCGTCAAAAGAAAAATGGTTACAGTTGGTCTTATGTATTCTAAATGGTTTTGTTTTTCTCGGGTATTTTATTGGTTTTCGTTATCTTCCTCTGCCTGATTTAACAACAATTAATTTTACTCGTTTATTATGGACAGTTGTCTTTGGTATACTCATTTATAAAGAGAAACCATCAGTGATCATTTTCTTAGCTGTTTTCTTGACACTTATTGGCGTTGTATTTGTTGCACAACCAACATTTATCTTTAAACAGAAGAAGATAGCGTCAGAGATTACTCTAAATATGACATCAACTACAGCATTAAATGGAACAGACATAGTGAACACGTTTTTATTTAGCAATCGAATGATTGGTATCTCTCTTTCGTTAGCGACAGGACTTTTCTCTGCATTCAATCTTCTAATCTTTAAACAACTGATAACTTTAAAACTTAAAACGAGTGTTTTAATTCTCCAACATTCTTTTGTTTTTCTTCTATGTTTAATATTCAATCAATTTTATAAATATTTTCTATTGAATGATCTAACATTCTTTACATTGACTATTTTTCAATGGAAATATTGGTTAGCTACATTAATTAGTCTATTACAAACACTTGGAGTAATCTGTGGAAATCGTGCTGTGAAACGTGAACGACCATCTATTGTTACAATAGTCTCAGCATCAGAGATTATTTATGCTATTCTTCTACAGAATATATTTACAAAGGATAAATCAAATTTATGGGTTTTACTTGGAAGTACATTGGTAATATCGAGTGTTTTACTTATCGGTGTACACAAATTTGTACAAGAACGAAAGACAAAAAAGAAAAAGATTGATGATCGTAATAATGTTAACAAATGAGAAGAGATCTTAAGAAACTTATCGAGTTAATATTTTTTTTCTTTTTTTTTGCGTATATTATAATATATATTTGATTCATGTTTGAAATACATTTTCACAAAGAGAATGAATATTATCTTGAGATTGTGGGTGAGTGTGGGTATGGGTGGAACATTCTCTTTTTCCCACATATTCATACTCAAGATTCAAATAAAAACTGTGCTCCACTCACTTGTTTTTTGTATGTATAGCATATTGAATTGTAAAAGGATTCGATTATTTGTCCACCTAATTACTTATTTTACTAACGTTGAAGCAAAGTGAAGCACTTTGAGGGTGTGGGTGTGGGTGTTATATTCAACAAACACCCGCATCCTCACTCGCCCCATACCCACACACAATACTATTTTATTTTATCTTGTAAAAAAAAAGAGTTGCGGCAGATGTTTGTTTTTTAATGGTTAGAAAATTGATTTATTTTAGAAGTCTCAATGAACGAGAATTTGTTTTTCTTTGAAAGAAATATTGTTGAGTTTTTTTAAATATCTGTGAACTAGTATAACCGAATGTTACGAGGATATTAGTCAATTAGTAAATGAGTTTAGTACTGAAGTTATTTTTTCATTATATTATATCTTTTTTTTATCTTGTTTATCTATATATCGAATTCGAATAAATGGATGAGGAGGTATTTAGATGAGATATACTAATGAATATATTTTTTAGCCATTTAAAGGCTTGTCAGCTATTTGTTTATTATGAGTTTATTTTTCCAGTAGCTAATTAATCTGCAATACTATTTAATGTACCTATTTACCCATTTAACGGTTTGTTTGCTACTCAAAAATCTGACAACTATTTGTTTACAATGAATATGTTTCGTTGATTGCCAACTAAATCAGTATCAGTATTTAAAGACTGGCATACCTCTTTAAATAGTTGCTCGATATCTAATCTTTAATTTTTATTTTCACGAATAGCTATTTGATCATAAAGTGGTATTTAATAGATCTTCATAGTTATTTAAAGCTAATGATTTTTCATTTTATAATTATCTAAAAAAAGACATGGATTTTATATTTTATAGTTATACAGAGATACGAGTGAATGAGATTATTTTATTGATCGATTTTGATATGTGAATAACGTTCCCCGCATCATATTTTGTACTTTTGTAAAATGCTAATATCATTCTTTATTGTAATTATTATCAGACATACGAAATATATATATATACGTATTTATACACGGATCTTAAACGTAATCTGAACATTGGTATATAATATTCTCACTTAGTTTCAACTAGAATTTTAAAATCTATATATTTTTTTTTACAGTGTAACGGAATGAATTTTATTTTTTTATTTGAGTAATCATAAAGCTTTCATCCGAGCAAGAAGGTAACAAAAAGATTTTTTATTTTATAGTTGTATAAATAATATTAAGATATTTATTTTGATATAAAAGAATAATTAAATAGTTACGTCGAAGCGCTAAAAATAAATGTTATCATGCTGTGCTTCAGCAAACTCATAAATTTAATTTAATTATGAGATTTGAATTCTTTTTTTTTCTTTCTTTTGTCTCTATGTTATCAGTCTTTAATCAAATATAGTATTCCAGTCTCAACTAAATTCTCATGTCAACTGTGACATATATATGAGAAAAAGAAATGATTATTGTATCGGTAAATCCTAATTCAGTCTATATACCTGTTGTTCAAAGTAATGATTTATTTTTTAAATTTCTATTCTTTAATTTGTTTGTATAATTAGATGGATGTTTGAAAGCAGAATTTGATTCAACATATCCAATTCATCTTAATGGAATAATTAATGAAAACGAATTTCAAGAATCAATTCATAAAATAAATCATACAATTGCTTCACGTAAAGTTTTATTAATCATAGGCGTTATTCTTATCTTGACTATAATAATTGGTATGATATTATTTCTTGTTGGTGCAATAACAGCAACTACGAATATAGAACATGGGTTTCCTGCATTAGTTGGTGTTGGAATGAGTATAATTATGTTTGGAATGGTTTTTTGTATTATTGCATGTTGTACTCTTCAACTTCGACGTGCAGAAAGAATGCGACGAGTAATTGCAGAAGAATCAAGAAAATATTCTTCTCGATCACCAATACCTAGTAGTTGGAGATTAGATACGTCAACGGGTTATACTGAATATTATGGAAACCAATATAGGCATCAAGTAGTTTATCATGTAAGGAGATTTTATTTTTCAATGAATTTGTTAATATCATTCTTTTTAGTTAGTAATAGATATTGGCCGTTCTATTGTTCCTGGAAGTGTAGCATATTATCCTAATCAAATTGCTTCGGATCAAATAATAGATTTTGGTGGACAAAGTAATTATGCACCTCCACCTTATCCTGGACAATTAGCAGAATTTTGTTCTCAATGTAATGCACCACGGCAAGCTCTCACAAGTCAATTCTGTTCATCATGTGGACATTCATTTAATAAATATTAAATAGATATTTGTTTCTATGTATTCACATATTTAAGTTCTCGATTAGATAACAACGTCATACACGAGCGGATATCTTAACAGTTCTATTTTTGACAGCCATAGAATCCCATGAGACAAACGCTTTAGAAAGAGATATCTTTTTTGTTAGAAATCATACAGCTGTTAAAATTTATTATAATAATATCATGAAATAATATACGATTTAACGTTAATAGTCCATCGATAAATGTGTGAAAAATTTCGGTTTGTACAAAATCATTCATTTATCATACATTCGATGGGATGAATTTTTAGTTCCATTAGATTCTATATGGAGACCTTCTCTACACTATAACAAATAATAAGTGTCAAATAAAATCTTTCTTCGGTACTATTTTCTGTAATAAAAAAAATAGAAGTCTTAATTAAATTAGAAAAACTATTTTATTGGTTTGATTTGTTGTCATTTATATTTATGTTGATAGAAATCTAGTTAACTAAAATATATTAGTCACTTTCCAATAGATACTTGACTTGTCATTGAACTATATTTAGAAGGATGTAAGAGTGACTTTCTTCTTCTTTACCATCATTATCGTGACACTACCCACGTCTTCACAAGTATACTTCGCCTCTTAGAATCAATAGTAGTTTATTTATTTTCAAATCGAGAATTTTATTGGTTACTTAATAGTTAAAAACTCTTATTTTGAACAGATCAGAGAAGAATAATGAGTTATTGTTTAATGTATGGATACTAATGTATTTGTTATTAATATCCATACTCGCAAAGTTTAGTTGAAAGTCTTAATATTGAACGAGGTTAAATAGTAGTTTGGATTATATAATGTTTTATAAGCGTAATATTTGTAGCAGATTAATAAAATATGAATAAATAAATAAATAGATAATAACCGTCGATAAGCCTTAACAATGTAAGAGAACCGCGACGCTACTCGAAGCAGATTTTGCAACAATAATATCGGGTTTATTGTCTTGATTCACATCGACAACTGCTACTGATGATGGAGAAGAATCAACTGTGTAAGTAATTTGAGCATTAAAGGTGCCATTGCCTGCATTGAGAAGGATATCGACGTCGTTCGAATTAGAGTTTGCAACAATAATATCAGGTTTGTTATCACTATTCACATCAACGACTGCTACTGACCATGGAAAACTGCCAGCTGGATAACTAGTTTGAGCACTAAAGGTGCCATTGCCTGTGTTAAGAAGAACACCGGTGCTGTTCGAACCAGAGTTTGCAACAATAATATCAGGTTTATTGTCGCTATTTACATCGACGACTGCTACTGAATATGGGTGAGTACCAACTGTGTAAGTAGTTTGAGCATGAAAGGTACCACTGCCTGCGTTAAGAAGGACACCAACGTTGTTCGCACCATAGTTTGAAACAATAATATCAGGTTTATTATCACCATTCACATCGACGACTGCTATTGAATTTGGATTATAGCCAACTGCGTAAGTTGTTTGAGCATTAAAAGTGCCATTGCCTACGTTGAGAAGAACACCGATGTTGTTCGAACCAAAGTTTGTAATAATAATATCAGATTTGTTATCGCCATTCACATCGACGACTGCTACTGAGTATGGAAGAAAGCCAACTGTGTAATTAATTTGAGCATTAAAGGTACCGCTACCTGCGTTGAGAAGAACACCGATGCTGTTTGCACCAGAGTTTGTAACAATAATATCGGGTTTGTTGTCGCTATTCACGTCGACGACTGCTACTGAGTATGGAGAAGTGCCAACTGTATAAGTCGTTTGAGCATTAAAGATGCCACTACCTGCGTTAAGAAGAACACTGACAGTATTCGAATTACGGTTTGCAACAACAATATCGGGTTTGTTATCATTATTCACATCGACCGCTGCTACTGATATTGGTTGAAAACCAACTGCGTAAGTAGTTTGATTAAGAAAAACATTGCAGGCTATCAAAAATAAAAATTATTTTCAGCATATTGAATTGCATAAGATTTGAATAACGTTATCTCAGTTAGCACAAAGGTCATGAATAGGGTGTGGGTGCGAGTGTGTGATGGATATAATACTTATACTTACACCCACACCCTCAAGATTCTACAATGTTTACTTAATTAAATCTTTTCCTATAATAATTTTAATAATTAAACTTTTAGAATTATAGTGATTCCAATCAGAAACTACTTCTAATTGAAAGAAGAAAGATGACAGTTTATAAAGATTTATGACAAAATCGAATGAATTCAGATTGATCTAATTTATTACCAAGAAATTCAATTGAAAATTTGCTTAACAGACATTGATGATTTGTATAGATGTGTTCAATATCTCTGTAAAACTGCCTTAATTCTCGATAAATTGAAACTATTTTCCAAGAAGATAATAACTTTTTTTCTATCACAGATATATTTTCTTCAAAATCTGTGCAATCAATACTGACCTGATGGAAATTGTCTTCCACTAATAACCTCCATACTAATAACATCTACATCAGTCAGCATATTTTCATTTTGATTCAAAATATTATCAAATAATTCACAATTAGAGGTTGATCGATGAAAAGTGGCTGCTATACATTGACTCTGACTTAAACATGCGAATTGACAATTCTTAATATCTAATGTAATACTATTAATGAATGGTAAACAAGTTGTATTTGCACAATAAAACTTGGAATCAATCTTTATGGACATTATCATTGATCGCGTATCTTCTCCGATTATTTCCGTAATAATCATAAATAAAAGCCATAAACAAATTTTTCTTGACGTCATCACCAAGTAGATTGTAAAATGATGAAATGAATTTAACTCATAATAGGAGACAAAGTATTTATTGAGCAGTAAATAATATTTCTCTCTCTCTTTTGAGTAGGTAACACACCGTTTACTCTCAGAATTCATTTCATTAATTTAATGGAAAACAATCTTCAGTTCTTTTTCTCTAAATTTCTTTTATGTATCTAATGGAAAAATACTCCACACTTCTTTTATCTAGAATTCATATCATTATTCTAATAGAAAAACAATCTTCAGTTTTTTTTTCGACAATTCATACATCAATTTACTCAAAAATCAGTCCTCGGTCCTTTTGTTTTGAAAAAGATTTATTCATTCTGGGTGTGTGGGTGTGGGTTTAGATCAACGAGAGATACCTATACCTGAATTTCTCATCAACTCTTTTCTTTATGTACATTTTTTGCCTAACTATTTATTCTTGCAACAAAAATTGATCGATAAGCGCGTACGTATAAGTGCGACATCACACTACCACGATGAGTTTTATTCATGTATTACTGTATAAATAATTCGAAAATTATTTCACTTCCATATTCAATTCATAAAAACTAATCTTTATATTCTTCAATGATTACATCCAATTGTATTTCTTATTATACGCCTTTTCAACCACGTCATAACAACAGTTAAATGTAAAAGAGAAAGAGAGTCAAATAAAACAATATATATATATGTTCTTCACATACTCGTATGATAAGAATATGGAGGGAGCAGCACAAGATAACATGGCGAAGCAAGTGGCAAGAACTGTTGATACTTCGATAGTACTTCGCACAGAAATAAATTTAAACGAAGATAATCTTAGTGAAGAAGCCAAGAAACAATTCAGTGATCATAGTGAGATTTTATGTGCATACCGATTGAATGCTCGCGTCATTCTTGCCAACAATCGATTATCACCAACTGGACGTCACCTATACTGTTTGATGCTCGAAACGAATTATTCAAACTGCAAGAATGTTCTCAATTATGTGGCCTCACATCCAGAATTAAAAATAACAACACAATCGATCCGACCTCCATTAATTTTATGTGGGCTGGGTCGGACAGGTACAACACTGTTATACAATTTACTTGCTTGTGATCCGGCATGTCGAGCACCTTTCGCGATGGATATGATGGATCCGGTTCCACCACTCGCTCGTTCCGACACATCCAGAGAGATGCATCGTAATAAAATTGCAAGCGCGTATAGTAATACATTTAATTCATTAGGACTGAACGATTACCTACGTGATATACATGCTTCTCATCCATCATTTACTCATGACGAAGATTTATATGTTCTTTCCCAAGCTGGTCTTAACTGGCCCACTTACTTGCTTGCATCTCATCGAGAGAATGAATTTGCAAAATGGTTCTTGAATGATACAAATAAAGACTTTGTCTATCAGTATCACAAGACATTTATCCAGATGTTGAACAGTGTCGATGCACCTCGATCACATTGGCTTTTCAAAACTGCAATACATGCACTTTATTTCAATACACTATTGAAATACTATCCCACAGCTTCTCTGATCATGACTCATCGGCGACTTGACGAAGCACTACCATCATGTGCTCGCTTGGCAATTGCCTTTGCGACTGCTTATTTTGATAACAATAAAGCCGATGTAAGAATAGATAAGAAAATGGTTGTAGAGCAACTTTTAAACGTTTATGATGTCATTATTCGGAGAATCGTCGAATTTCGACGGACTAATCGAGATGTTCCTGTTCTTGACATACTCTATGATGATTTACTTGCACAACCAATTGACACTGTTCGTCGAATATATCAACATTTTAACATGGCATGGTCAGAAGATTTCGAACAGGCTATGCTTGGATGGCTTCGTGATAATCCTCAGGGCAAGCAAGGACGCAATACCTATACCCTTGAAGAATTTGGATTGGATCGTGAAACAATAGACAAGAATTATGAGGAATACAATAATATGTTTCTAAAAACTCGAGACCAATCCGAAACAGACGCTAATATAATAAAAAATTAAAACTCTATTACAACAAATTCATTATAAACATCAATAAATAATCTATTACTTAGCTCGTTCTATAATTTTCACATTTAGCAAATAGATCGTCACATTAGTGGATGTATCTGCCTTAACTTTATTCGTTATACGTCGTGCTGTTCAAAAGTTAAACAGATAGTTTTGATGAGTTTTAGTATTCTGTAGCGTTTTAGTAGTACAGCTTATGATAACAGTAATCACCTGAATTGTTCTCTAGATATCTTTGATGGTTGGGTTCATCCCTGAGCACTTGCTCATAGAGTTTTTGCTTTTCTTGGCTGTAGGTGAAGATAACAGAGCGGTATTGAGTACAGTGATTGGACGAGTACAAGTACAAATAGTGTGTACTTCACGAATTTACTTTGCACGGAAACTTAGACACACTGCACTGTTCTATACTGTACTCAGTACTGGTACTGAGTACAACTGTACTACAGTAAATTGTACCGAGTACCGATACTACAGTGCAGTTGTACTAAGTACTCTACAACAATACTTTATTTTGCTTCTAAAGTGATTATCTATTAATATTTAAAAACTTTATACTTTAATGAGATTTGTTGGAATAACGAAAATTGAATGTATTATCAATGTAGTTGTGATATAGTATAGATATACATTAAATAATTCAAATCATGTCGAGTAATTGTCTGCGTTCATGAATAAGACAAATAATCATAATGAGGTTGAGTGAAAAGCTTATTGGCGAGACACAACAGTATGTATACATGTCTAGAGTATTATATTAAGTGGTATCATCAAGAGCTTATATTCAAAATGTATTTCCTTTGTATGTATAACAACGTTTTATTCGGATTAATGCTAAGAATGACTGCTGAGCAATTGAAAATACATTTCGATTTTTCTGAAATTGATAATAATCGAATCGATGGATAGTAAAAGTTATGTCATTAGAATTATAACGCCAAAACAGAAATCTTTAGTAATTTCACAGAACAACAAAATATGTTTTAAAAATAACATACGCCTCTCTCATTCGTGCTGTAATGGTAAAGAATGATTTTATTTACCAAATTTCTAATTTTTTACTATATAATACCTAGAATTTCAAAAGACCTCTGAAATGTATGACTGGCATATAACATATATGAAAACATTCACAAAAGAGTTTTGTTAAATTACAAGGGATCTTATAAAGTACTTAGTACATGTGTATTTAATACAGGTACTAAGCACGTATTCACTAAAGTATCAGTCCCTAATACGACCGTACTAAAGTAAAATGTACTTAAGTCCTGGCACTAAGTACACTGGTCCAATAAATAGTATATGTGGTTGTCCTACATAAATGTACTGTGTATTATGGATTTTTAAATAAAAAGTACGAAAATACTTCAGTACTGTACGAAGTATCTAATCACTGACATGCACTAATTCATTTATGCAAACTTATATTTCAATTATCTGTTGTTGTTTGATATTTACGTCATTTGAAAATGTAAAAGGCATATTCGTTTCTGTCGTTCTGCTATTGAAAATTATCAGTTCGAAGTCAGCAGTTTTCTTATCACATATTCTTTTTGTTTGAAAGATAACCATGTCAGATGACTATTTATCTAAACTATGTGATATATTATTCTTTTTTTTGGTTTCACAACATTATAGAATAACTTCTAACTATATCACAACTAATTCCTGCATTTTCACAACATATTAGCAGCTCAGTTAAGTTAAATTAAATGCACCAACATCATGACTTTTTCCTAATAGCATAGCATAAATAAATGCTCTCATACTCGCAACCTGTGTAAATATAAATATATTTTATTTTCTATCAGATAAAAAAATGTGTGAAAAAGTAGAGAAAACTCGATACGATCCACGAAATATTCAAGTCAACTTCGATCAAAATGAAACTCTGTTAAAGGCGGGGGTGGCATCACAACAGTCAATGAGAGCACAGTAAATATTTTAATGTATCATTACATATGCAAAATATATAATTTCATCCTATTATTCGTAGACATCATTGGCAACATGCTGTTTTTTCAACTCAATATAAATATTTGTATGTAATTTCATTATTATTAATCCTTGTTAGTTGCTTTTTGGTTATAATGAGTTATGAACATATAGCACACAAAACAAGTATTGACAATAAGCGTAAGTTAAATATCATATTTTTGAAATATTCATTCTTATGAAAGAGAACTTGTTAGAGAGTAGCGAAGATTTGAAAAATGATGCAACAAAACTATTGACAACTAAAGACAACCACGATGAAAACAATGATCAACTGCTTGAATTACGACGATCGGATTTCGAATATGTGAGTATTTTTTATCCGTAATTCAAAATATATAATCTTCCTCAATTAAGCGTGAAATCGAACCACCTGAAAATCTTGGTTATATAAATATCTATATCCGTCAATCCAATCGTCATAGTATTCGACAACAATCTAAAAAGATACGTTTTCCAGTGGCTCGTTACCATCGCCGACGATTTCGTATGTATTCTATTGTTCTAAATATTCATCTCATCATTCAATAAGAACTGTTTTTGAAGCTCTTCATGGACCATTTCTCAGTTTTACACCTCGCATTCCAATTTTTGCTGACCGTTTGACAAAACAAACAATTATTTATTCACCAACTGGAGGCAGTAAGTACTCATATCGATACAAAATATTTCGATGAGGAATATCATTATTATTGTAGTTTATATCTTACCTCCACTGATCAACTTTTATGGTAAAATGTTTTCGATAGCGGAACTGATTGTTTCTGGTTATGCTAGTTTGGTTAGCAATGGTGGTGAACAAAGTGGTCCTATTAATATGTTGTCATATTTTCAACCAATGCCATGTATGTGTTTATTTCATTGAAAAATATATGACATATGTTGAGTATTGTTTGTTTAGTGTATGGTCGCGGTATACCCAGAATTAATCCAATGACAGGTGGTTTTACCGGTGGCATACAAACAAGTTATAAACGGTTCGATACTAGAAAGTATTCTCGAACGCATGCCAATATCGATTTAACGTATGAGACGGAGGATGATGATGAAAAGCCACGATCATATCAACGAAACTATTATAAGAGACGACACCCATTAAAACGTCCTCATTCATCAGGTAATAAAGTTCATTATGAATATTTTTCATTATCTAGTTAAACAAACGGAGTTGAATATTCCATAACTTCTATATGTTCATTTAGCTCCTGCATCCTATTCAGCTGTGCTATATGTTTGGTCTGGTCAAGATACTTCTGTAACAAATGCAGCTGATTTTGTTGCTGTAATTGATTTCAATGAAAAATCCCCTACCTATGGACACATTCTCAAAACAGTATCTCTTATTTCAGATCCTGAAAAGGGAATTGGACAAATAAACAACGAAGCACATCATTCTGGCATCTCTTCCAACAAGAAATATTATATTACTGGAGGTTTACTCAGTTTTCTATCGAAACAAAAAGAAATATTCGTTTGGGAAATTCCTCAAAATCCAAAAGATGGTCCCAAATTTATCTGTGGAATCGATGCACCAGGTGCATGTCCAGATGAATTTTTACCCATTGGTAATAGTGAATTTCTTGTAACTATGATGTGTAATGAATCTGCAGGTAGTCCTGGTAATGTAGCAGTAATTGATGCAGATACGTGCATTGCAAGATCATTACTACGAAATGCTTCAGATATACAAGATTTCAATCCACATGGATTCGGTCGTCTTGACAATGGTTCTATATTCACAGCAGATTATATTCTTCCAATCACATTGACAAATACTGATGCTTCGACAATTGTATTTCGAAATACTGTTAGGCATATTTTTCCCGATGGTAGTTTACAAGATACTTTTCAAGTTCGTTTTCCTACTGAACCTGGATCGACAACAGGACTTGGACATGGCATTGGTTTTATGGAATTAAAAACTATTCCAAATGATCCACTGGGACGTGCATTAGCTTGTGGAACTAACACAAATATTGTCTACCTATTTGGAGCAGGGATACCTGAACCAATGCCTGTACTTGATGCCTCACAGGTAAATGATTATATTAAACGTCCTAGTGCTGGCCTTGTGTCAATCTTTCCCGATGGTTCACGGATGTTAATGACATTTCAAATGCGATTTGTGATGCTAGTTGACATTGTAGATCCTTTGCATCCTAAATTTCTTCATACATTTGATTTTTGTACAGATGAATCAGTTCGCGATATGCCTATTCTTTATCCTGGAACAAATCAAACAACTACCTTTTCGAAATTTTGTCTCAATAACAGCAATGTCGTTGGTTCACATGGAATAATGTTTCCAAATGGAGAAAATCGATTTGTTGTGTTGAATTATTTTCTTAAATTTGGCTTGGCACAATTTTCTGGTACACGAACAGTGCACGCATTTAAACTGAACAAAGATTTGACAAATTTCACTTATGATCATCAATTTAATCCTAACTTTCAATTTGATACTTCGTCAAAGAAAAAATATTCAACATTTCATTCGTTAAATGCCTATCCACATCATGCTCAATATCTAAAATTATAAACTCAAACTATTTTAATTCTTTCATACTATCTTGAGGATGTGGGTGTGGGTGATGGATTCAAGAGCATAGATATATGCTCAGATTTAATTCTAAACATATTTAGTATGTCAATACGAAAAGAGATAAGAAGAAAAATGTTCCGTAACATCAGTAGTTATTGATTAGTTAATTAATCGCAAATATTCAAAAGAACAGACAAGTCACTATCATAAAAATTTGTTACAACTAAATCTAGTTTATTATCATTGTTTAGATCAGCAGATTTTAATGCTGATGGACCAGTACCAGTTGGATATATGCTTTGAAATGAAAAGACTCCATTATTATCGCCTAATAACAAACTAAGTGATTGATCATCGAAGTTGATAACTGCTAGATCTAACTTTTTATCATTATTAAAATCAGCGGCGATCATTGAATCTGGAGATCGACCAACAGCATATGTCCGTGATAATTGGAAAGTTCCATTTCCATTAGGGACCATGCAAGTATTACGTTATTCAGAATAGTTTTGATTCATTAAAAAATAAAGGATATTGATGATTCGAGAGGAGAAAGGGATCAAAATGGCCCAAACTCAGATAATGTAATACTTGCATAGTCTCTTACCAAGCAATACACTTACCATGTTGTCCCATTGATTGGCTATTGCCAAATCCATATTCATATCTCTATTAAAATCAACGGCTATTACGGACGCCAGATATCGACCAACAGTATAGTCTGTTGAAGTTTGAAAACTTCCGTTGCCATACCCAAGAAGTACACTGATGGTGAAGACGAAATAGTTAGTCACTACTAGATCCAATTTTTTATCATTATTGAAATCCGCTGAAATTATCGACCACGGACCACTACCGACTTCATAGTTCGTTGCGATCTCGAACGTGCCATCACCATTGCTCAAAAGCACACTAATAGATGCTCCATTGTAGTTGGTTACTGCTAGATCTAGTTTAGTATCATTATTGAAATCTGCTGAAGTAATAGATCGCGGCAGTTCGCCAACGCCAAAATATTTAGGTGCTTGGAAAGTGCCATTTCCGTTTCCAATCATCGTACACACCGAATTATTATGTTGATTAGTTACTACAAGATCTAGTTTGGTATCAGCATTGAGATCAATTGAAATCATAGAAGCTGGATAATTGCCAACTATATAACTTGTTTGAGTTTGAAACGATCCGTTTGTATTGCCGAAAAGCAGATTAACGGTATCGTCACGATAGTTAACTACTGCTAAATCCGATTGGTTATCACTATTAAAGTCAGCTACGGTTACAGAGGCCGGATATCGACCAACGGTATAGTTCAATTGAGAGGAAAAGTTTCTATTTCCATCACCTAGTAGCACAGTCACCAGCTGATTGGTGTAAAGGACGATTGCCACATCTGTTATCTTATCATTATTGAAATCTCCCGCGGCTATACAATACGGGTATTTACCAACGGTATAGGTCTTTCGAGGTTGAAAAGTTCCGTCACCGTTACCATACAATACGCTGAGAGAGCTGTCAGCATAACTAACTACTGCTAGATCCAGTTTGTTATCATTATCCAATTCGATGGATATAATAGAATATGGCATTTTACCAACACTATAGTTTGTTGGGATTTGAAAATCTCCATTCCCGTTTCCAAGTAGTACACTAACTGTGTTGTCCTTTTGATTAGCTACTGCTAGATCCATTTTGTTATCGCTATTAAAATCTGATGAGATGATTGAATATGGACCTGGAGAAACGGAATACTTTATTTGAGTACGAAAACTACCGTCCCCATTTCCTTTTAATAAACTAATAGTGTTGTCATCGAAGTTGGCTATTGCTAGGTCTGATTTATGATCATTATCAAAGTCAGCGGACACAATTGAACTCGGAGTTTGACCAACGGCGTAATTCGTCGGAGTTTGAAAAGCTCCATTCGCATTAGCTAGCAGTATACTGACGGTACTGTCATTGGAGTTGACGACTGCTATATCTAATTTACCATCATTATTAAAATCAGCAGATATAGCATACATCGGTTGTCGACCTACGTCATAGTTTTGTATGGCTTGAAAGCTCCCGTTCCCCTGACCCAGTAGTACACTAATTGTATTGTTATATTGGTTGGCAATTAACAGATCCATCTTTTTATCATTATTCAGATCGTAGGATAACACAGAAATTGGACCACGGCCAACATCATAAAGCCATGGATACTTGAAAGCTCCTTGTCCATCACCAAACAAAATAGTAACGGTGTTAACATCTCGATTGGTCACTGCTACGTCTATTTCTCTATTGTTTCTGAAGTGACCCAGCGCCGCATAAGATGGATCGCTTCCAACGCTATATTTTTTGGATTGTTCAAAAGGTCTCTGGCAGATAGTCTCTAAAAGAAGATAACATTGAAATAAAATACTTTTTACAGAAAGAGCAATATTAAATAGGTAATAATTATCTACGTTTAAAAGAGATTTCATCATACTAAATTACCTGGCAAACAAGTCTCCTTACTTTTTGATTACTCTGAAATTTTAGCCAAAAATTGAAAAAGATCTTACAGAAAGAAACGAAGTCACTCTAGGACACTTCATCTGTATCTGTAAGTAGAATAAGAACATCAAAAATCATACTTGGAGATCTATGTCCTATAACAGCGCCAAGAACAGTTGCCACAATGATTATAATAGTCAATAAACATACTGGAATGATAAATCTCTTCTTTCTGTAGCAAGCACGTCTTGTAAATATAATAAGAAATATCATGAAAAATACAGTTAATAAATGTATAGTTAAACTTACCCAATTTTAGGATAAAGACATGCACCTAAATATAGATATACTATTAGTTCATGATAAATCAGTGAAAACTTTAAAATACCTGGAAATGGAGGTTCTAGTAGTACTTCCTCTGGCTCTATCTGTTTCAAATGAATGATATAAAGATCAGGTGCTGGACTGAATTGAGACTGAACGATCATTTGAGTACCAGGTAAAAGAAGTACTTCATCTTCATTAACAAAATGTGAATGAGCTCGCACATCTCGACTGTTTATAGCTTCAACAGAGAATAATGTCCGTTTACCATCATCACCCAAATACATATTGTTTTTTAGAACGGGTAACGAAGTCGTACACGATGTAAAACTCCACCAGATAACTGATGTACCAGGTGGAAATTGACCGCTTAAATCTTTGGTTACTCCTCGCCAAATGACTAATGATGGAACGCATGGTAATTTAGTTAGCGCAGTTAAAAATAGTTTTAGATATTTGAAATAAGGTCGTAATTTCTCGCGTGGCTCCTTTTTGAGTGTGTGATTGAGCATTGAATAGAGACTGCGATGCTTTCCTTCCCATTCAAGTGTATATAAGCGAATAGCGGCACTCTCATCGACTGTGAGTTTATCAGGTGGTGGGTTCGGTGTTTCTTTTAGTGCTCGTTGAACATAGACTGATAAATTATCAATAGTAGTAATTAGCGGAGCACATGCTTCGGTTAGAGATACTAACGGCTCTTCTGCATACTCAATAATAGGTCCAAGATTCGCTGTGATGTCGTTGATATTATTCATTTGTTTCAGAATCAAGTCATTGGGAATGACTTCCACGCCTCGATTATTTCTTGTTTCAAGGTGATTCAAAATTTTAGTAGAATGTTCTGTTGCAACCATTCCTTCTTTTTGATCTTCTACATTTAAGTTTATATGCAATGTGTCGAAACTGTACGGTAAATCAGTATTGATTTCCATGTCTTTGCCTAATATTGGTTGTTGATCATTCAAAAATTCATCACCAAACGTAGTTTCATGTAGCTCAAATTGATCATGATCGGTTGTCATCGCTATTTTTGACTTCTTATTATGACTCTCCATTGTCTTATACTTTTTGTAAATGAGAACTAATGCTAGAAAATTCAAATTAATAATAAAACAAAAGTGTTCGAAATATGTGCTAATTGATTGCTATTCAATAGATGAGATGATGGCGAGTAAATAAACGCAAGGCATCTCTCTGAATGAATTTTGAATATTCCTAAAAATTAAATCAGTTTCCAGGATTTTTATCAATTGATAAATGAAGAATATATTTTTATGTCTTATAATAATCTTTGTTTTTCTTGTAAATATATGAAGTTACAATCCGAATTAGAATCTTATAAAAATAATCAAATACACTTACTGTGATATATAATCGAACGAGAAAAAAACAAAACGAATTAAGAAAAAGTATATTTTTATCTCTTTTATAACAGTGATCAGTCATCCGTTAGTTACTTTTTTCGTATTAAAAAGTAAGAGGTAGAAGAAATCATGCCTAATATATTTTGCTTTCCTGCATATACTGTATTACTTATAAGTAATGTATAAAGGTATATATATATAGAACAATTATATCACACGCTTGCGAAATATATGCATTTAATAATATGAGTAATATCGATCACGATTATTTTATTCAATAAATGATCGATTCTAATAAGAAACTCTTCATTATAAATAGAATGAATTTGTTTAAATATATATATTTAAGGGTGACCGGTCATTTCGGTAAACGACAGTTCGTCCCCTACTATTCGTCCGGCACGATTCGGCCTAAATGCCATTTGTCCGATTTCATTTTGTCTCTTTACAATTCGTCCTAATTATCTCTTGTCCCATTACACTTCGTCCTTTTACACCTCGTGCAAATTTACTCCTTCTCATATATTTTATGATGTAGTTTTTTGAAGAGCAATTTCCATAGGAATTGAAAAACCAACTTGAGGATAGGTGTGAGGGTGTAGGTGTGGGTGTGGGTGTGGGTGTGGGTGAGGCTGTGGGTGTGGGTGTGGATGTGGGTGTGGGTGTGGGTGTGGGTGTGGGTGTGGGTGAGGATCTGGGTGAGGGTGTGGGTGTGGGTGAGGATCTGGGTGTGGGTGGGGGTGAGGGTATGGATGTGGGTGTGGGTGAGGGTTTGGGTATGGGTGTGGGTGTGGGTGAGGGTTTGGGTATGGATGTGGGTGTGGGATCTGTATCTTCTTTATTCACGTCCACCCTATACCCACACTCACCCTAAATTGTAATTTATATTATCGTGATAAAAAAATGAATACCTAACTTTTGGAACGAGATGTAAGAGGACGAAATGTAATGGGACAAGAGATAATTAGGACGAATTGTAAAGAGACCAAATGAAGTCAGACAAAAACCATTTAGGACGAATTAAAAAAGGACGAATAGTAGCGGACAAAAAAAAAAGGCCGAAATGTAGGGGTACCCATACTATCACACAATTACAAATTTCTAAATTATTTTTATATTCAACATTGAGATCACTTTCTTTAACGTTGTTTTTTCTTGATTAAATATATATATTTAATCTTACTTTTATCACTTGCGCTAGATATTAAATTATCAATAATATATTCATCTATTCACTTGAAAATACTGAATTATTCAATATATACATTTTTTTATTGATTATTCTTTTTATATTTAATATTTTATACATATACAAAGATCAAAAATAATCCCCTGACCAAAAAACAGTAGAACCATTCGAGTAATTAATTTTGATCTTTTCATATATTTCTTTTGGTAATCGAATATTACGCATCATTATTTCTTGGTTAATACCAATTTGAAGAGGACCAGCCCATTCAGTCAATTCTTCAATTGTCATATATTTTGGTAATGCAAACAGACAAATAACTTTATTTGATCCATAACGTTGTCGAATCTCTGTTGCAGCTAAAGATAATAATTTTTGTTCAAGATTACGATTTGGTGCTTGCCATTCCAATACACATATATCTGCTTCATTGTCGGACTTACCAATTACTACATAACCTTGTTCTTCTTCCTGTTCATATAGACAAACAATAGCACCATTGCTTTCCCATCTCATTTTAACCCAATGTTGTAATATTGTAGATGGAGTTCGAACAATTTGATAGATACGTGGATTATTCGAATGAATTTGATGTAAAAGTTCAAAATCTTTAGACGAAAGATCAGATATTGGACGCCATACAACATCGATATCTAATGGGCTAATAGTTTTCCATTCAATGATAATTTTAATAGGTTGAGGTACTTGTTCCCATCCAAAAACTGAATAATGATTGGGTCTTCCAGTACCTAACATTGATAGATCGAATTCATTACTTTTCTCCATTTTCTCAATAGCCATTTGTAAAAGATGTCGAGAAAGACCATGATTTCGATATTCTTCTCTAGTAGCTACATTGGTAATACCACCACAGAGATATTTCTTATTGTTTTCATTTGAGAATAATGTTAAACGTCGAATATGTAATGTACTAATTAATTTATCATTATACCATGCACCCAATGTATCACCTTCTTCATAATTTGGTGATGCATTCAATGAAAAATAAGATTTTTCCACATTAGGATTTGTTTTAAAGATAGGACACCATAAATCTACTGCTTGTTGTTGTTCATGCTTTTCGACATAACGATAAATAATCGATGAAATATCAATATTTGATACAGAGTTCATCGTATTAATTATACACCTATTAAAAATATGAAGAATATTAAATCCTAATTCGATAATGATATAAATAAAGTATTGATTCATGGTCGTATGGACTTCGTAAACTCTTAAAACTATCAACTCAATAGCAAGAATTAAAACAATATTTATTTTTCGATCTCTCCTATTTTCTATCAACAGGAAAATGTAGATCGTGTAGAATAATCTATTATCAGAACGGGAGAAAAAATGTATAAAGCGCTTATCAGACAGAAATGTGCCAATATCTATCATTTTCTTTTCTTTTCTTTCTTCTGTAACAAGGCAGACTATTCATATTTATCGTGTCATAATATCATCTACATGAAATTTCTCTCGTCTATCTATCTCATTGTTCTTGACAGTTCATTGAATAATGAGTCATTAATAAGAAAAAATCTCTTATTATATATTCAAATATTGTTTGAAATATATAAAAGAAAAGATCAAAGACAAAGAAATCTTATTTTTTTTATTGAATATGTAAAATAATTCTTTGTAAGCAAATTCAAATAATCAAAATCTAATCGAAGCCAATGTAATACATCTGATTTAATAATTAATGATCTTATTATAGATTTATTATTATTTTAATTTATTGTATCATTGATTATCATTGGTTTTATATTATCTTAATCAGAATTCAAATTTCACAATTATAAACTTTATACGAAATTAATATTTCGTTTGATAGTATATCAAGGATGTATATTTAATAAAATTAGAAAAGTTAAATTGTTAATTTAATTAATAGCAAAAACAAATCATATTCATGTGTCTTTCAATTGTGACACACAACTCGTCCATCTCTAATATACAATGAATTTTTCAATCGAGCATGCATTCTGTTACGCCCTTTTTTTCTATTCTCGAAATCAAACTTTTGATTAAAATCATGAATTGAATTTACTCAAAGTATGAAAATCACATGACATATTCGAAGCCGTTGAAATGAGTTCATTTTTGATTATTTTTTTATTATACAAACCATATATATGTATACGTGTATTTTTTTTATTCAATTCAGATCGAAATCAGCTACCAATCTACTGACAATACAAATAATGGCATGTAGACAAAAGTCCAACTGGTCCGCAGATCCAGTACCAATTAAACGTCAAAGTTATTCTTTGATTAAACGCAATGCTTGGGCAGATGATGATGATAATGATCGGTAAGTACAATATCAATTTCATGATGGTTATATATCTTTATTTTAATAATAGAATTCTTCAGAATAAGAGAAACCCTACCTGGCATTGGTGTTTTAGATGGTGTATTGTTGGATCATTACTCGTTGGAATAGGTTTAGCAATTGTACTTACATTCTGGTTGACCTCAAAAACAACAGCAACAGAGACATTAAGTATGTAATAATGATAATTATTGATTTTCTTAATTAATTAAAAAATCACCATCAATTAGACAACGAACTATTATAAATTAATATTTAATTGAAAATATTGTGTATATCATTCTAATATTACCTATTTTGTTTTCATGCATAAATACAGTTAGTTATATTCAAAACTTCAGATTTGTATAAAGAATTTGATCAAACAAAAATATTCAGACTGTGATTTGATCCAAGTATAGGAGTGATTAGATGATAGTTATAATACTCACATTGACATCCTCAACATAAAACGTACATAGAGAGAAGTTCTTTTTTATAAATATTAAATGCATCTTTCTAGTTGTAGAAACATCAACCTCAATTGTCACTTCATCAACAATAGGTATGATATGAATTCATAAGATAAATTAGACATGTTAACATAGGTGCATGAATACGGATACAACTTATATCAATGTATCTGTATTCATGCACCCCTCTCCCTTAGTGTATATTCAATTTTGATTTCTAAATAGTGATGTTAATAACTTGAATCGAGATTTACAATTGTAGATTAATCATAAGTTTGTATCTTTTCAAGCTCAGAAGTTATATCGATTTTACTTGTTGCTCCTATCTAATTTCTAAAACATTTGACGAAAACAAAATCATGTTTTCCAAATCTTTATTATACAGTTCAATGTGCCTTGATCTCTTCTTTTCAGCCATGAAAACCATAGATCTCTAGCACACTCCCTTCAGTATTATAAGTATTTTTATCATTATACTAAGATTGTTAATCGATCGGTCTTCGCCGGTTGCATCATCCAATTGCTAATGATTTGTGAGCAGTATCATAAAGAAAGCATGAGAGCAAATCATTCATTTCTAAGAGAAATTTTTGACAAGTGTTGGTGATTGATAAAGAATCATTAAGAAATTTTAATGAATGCTAGAATCATGTTGTTTTATTCCTCGTTTGCTAACTTCAGACAATGAAAAATTTTTGTCCTGAAAACACAGAAGACTTTTCACTTCTTTCAAAATATATTACGAAGTTGTTTTGATGTCATTTGATATAATCTGATGCCCTTTCTTTATCGCAAATATATGATCTCTAATTGTAATTTATCATTTCGTACTTTCTAGCCTCGACAGAAAGGCACACAACAACAACCACTATAACGACAACAACAACCACTATAACGACGACAACAACAACAACAACAACAACAACAACAACAACGACAACAACAACAACGACAACAACAACAACGACAACGACAACGACAACGACAACAACGACAGTGGTGACAACAAGTAAGTTTTCGAACGTATGATTATTCTTTTGTATTAAATGTTATTTCACTCTCGATAGCACCAACATGCGGCACTTTTCCTACCAATCCACCAGGCCAGGTTTTGCATTATTTCCCTAAAAGTGGTTCAAATTTCCCGCTCATGACATATACAAAATACACTTCTACTTTCACGGCAAATAGTACCTTAGCAACTCTATCATTTATTATAATGGGTGAGGGTGGAGGAGGTGCCGATCACTACTGGCTATTAGACGAAGTATCTGTGAATCATACAAATGCAAACGCAGATGTTCTAATTAATGGTGGATTTGAAACAGGAAATTTAAATGGCTGGACACAGTTTTGTAACACGACTGTCAATTGTGTTGCTGGTTATTATACGCATACGGTAACAAATTCATGTTATACAGGAACATACTGCGTTTACGATTCATGTAAAAATACTGATTATCTAGAACAATCGTTTTCTACTGTAGTAGGAGATTACTATATAATATCATATTATCTGAGAAACGGTAATAATGACGCAGGACCTATAGCAATGTATGTCACATTAACTTAACCGAGATGACTTATATTAACGAAATGACATTGATAAACACTATCGCTTTTCTGCTTTTTTTTAGTTTTATGCGCATTACTTGTGTGACTTCAAACTTTTCATAAAAAGAAATCTTCTCGTTTTTTACAAAACAGATCTGTAACAATCCAATATTATTTACCTTATCATTTTTTTTCTAACATTTGTTCCGTCTATAAATAAATACTAGTATCTTCTTCACCCATAAATAATATTTATCTCTCTTTTAATATATGTACATGATTATCTTATACTTATCATTTCTTTTTTAGTGATGCAGTGTCTATTTTTGCTTCTTTTCATATACGGACTTGAATCTTTGATGTTTTTCTTTTGTATCCAAACTCTATAATCTCTTTTCTCTTACAAATTTGTCTTTACTTCTTCTATGTATCTATTTTTGGATTTGCTGGATTCTTTTTGAACGAAATAAGGTATAAGAGATGGAAAAAATGTTGTAACGTTGCGATTTTGGATATACAAATAAAACATACATATTGTTTCTTTTAATAGTATCTTATACAATATCAAAGATTGTAACAGTGTGATAAAACTGTTAACATAGAAAGATGGAAGTGAGGATGTAAGAATGAGTTCTCTAATATCCAAACCAAGATGTATTCAATGATATTTTTCTTTATCGTCCAGGAATCAGTTCTCATTATAAACTAGTAAAATTCAAGAAAATTTTTTTTATTACTCAATTTATTATAGCCAACAAATTCGAAATGATTGAAGAGATACTGATCTTGTTGTAACATTACTTAATCGTGTTTTAATAACGTGATATTCATAATCATAATACTAGAGCGTCTCTAGAGGATGGATCTGGGTGAGTAAAGAATAAACTACATTCACACTTTTATATCACACGTAGATCAATGTAAATTTAGAATTTAATTCATGAATATTTATTTAATAAAAAAGATATTTAAAACATAAATAGAAATAATTAATTTCCGTAATCAATTAATTTATTCAAGATCTTCATTTCTTGTTCCAGATCTTTATCATTGAGTTCAGTTATCCCTGATTGAAAATAGTTTCGAAATATTTTGAATTGTTCTCGAAATTGATTTGATACAATTAATGGCGTCGATTGTCGTTCCCAATCACTTAATTTCTCAACATTTCGCTCATTTAAATCAAATAAAAATTTTCTTTTATTATATTTCTGTTCACGTTCATGATTAATAGAATTATTTCTAAATATTAAGAATTAAAATTATCTGATTAAACAGAAATATTTTATAATTTTACAACTAAAATAATTCAATACAATAGTCTTTTTTTCAAGATTATATAAAATGTGTTTATAGTTCATTGTTTAACATTGAAAAGAGGACGTCTAATCTCATCTTTGAAAAAAATCTGAAAAGAAACTTATGTTAAAAATGAGCATATTATATAAAAGCTTAAGTTATATACTAAATTTATAATAGATAAAATTATCTTTATGATTTATTTTCTCAGCTATAAATACCAGATTAATTCTTCTTAATAATTAATTTAAATTATTTGTTATTGATATTTTTTTAACAAGAAATAAAAATATGATCATATACATTATGTTTATCTAATTCAATAGAAAAATGAATAGTTGAAAATATAATATTTATAGAAAAAAGAAATCTAACAATAAGTCAAATTACGAATATAAGTATAATTATTAAATTCATTTCAAATATTTTATTTTTATTTTTATTTTATTTTGTCATTGAAAATTTTATCACTAGAACTGTTATAGAAATATTTCTTAAAGGAAAAAAGATTTATTTTTCTTCTAATAAATTAAGATATTTATTCATAAAATCTTCTATTATTTTATTTTTCTTATTAAATCTAATATTATTTATTCATTTTTTTTGTTTCAATTATTTATCATTGATATTTGCATAAAACTTACTATTCTCAAGGAAAATATTTTTAACTATTTATGATACGCGATAATTTTATCTTTTTATATTTGTCAAATAATAGTAATAATATATAGGAAATAAAAGAAAAAGAATAAAGAAAAAAGAATAGAAAGGAAATGGAAAGAAAGAAAAAGGTAAATGATGGATGGATTAGAGTCCGTCACAATATATATCGCATTTGTTCATCTAAATAACGAAAAAGTTTTAACCGAACGAGTAATTGTTATTTTCTTACTTAATATTCGTTTCAAATCTTGATACAGTTCTGTCGAAATCTTTATCTCTTGATTTTTAGTAAATATGTCAATATTAATTGATTCTAAATCTTTGTTGATAACTCGTATTGCATCTTTAGTTTCGCATTCCAGTAGTTTTAGGTTACATATCTTTTTTAAAACATCCAACTGATCTTTATCATGAACTAAAAGTAACAACTTATCATTGTGTTAGTTAGCTAAATAAAGAAAAGAAATTATACGTAATCATCGACTTTCTTCTTACTTTGGTATATGTATTCATGATCTTGGTATTCTTATTTGATGCCATTTACTATTTTTTTTTTCGAAAAAAGTTAAACCAATATAATATATTGATCTAAAACAAAATATTCAGATTAATCCCATGTCGATAATTCCGAACGTCGTTTTAGGCATGAAACGGCTAAATTCGTGCACGAAACGGCCGTGAACGGATGTCGTTTATCGCCGTTTAACACCGTAATCCGTATACCCAGATTTGTATATATAGTTTCATGCCTAAAACACGACGTTCTTTTGACGTTTGATACATGAGAGTACTCAGGTCCATTAAAACGGAGTCGATTACGATCCGAAAAAGATCGATAAATGGTGCAATAACGGAATCTTTAAAGCCGTATACGGTTAAAATATGAACCCTTTTCAGTCCATATCTGGCCGTATGATCTGAATAGACAGCAACTTTCTGTGATCATCACCCACGCCTTCCCTACCTCACTCCTGTCTGTCATCCTAGTGTAACTAAATACTTACCATTTAATCTATTGTTATAGATAATCTAAAAATTAAAAAAAAAGAATTTAAACAAGTAACGCTCATCCGATGGATTCGCTGGCTCTTTTCTGAAAGAAAACTTCCTATGATTATCTTTAAAAATAATTTTGATTTTCATTATATATTAAGAAAGGAAATTTGGACAGGATCTACTTATCATGAAATCTTAAACGAACATGTTTTATTTTTAATTTGAAGAAGACACAATCATTCGCAGCCGTACGTTTTATTTTTTGAAAGACTGACCTAATTCAAATAGTTTTAGGAGTTGTGCTGCCACATATTTGAGACTTTTTACACTTTTAAAATGTTCTCGGCTAAGCAACCTTAATATTCCTCAATAATCAGAAAAATTAATGTCATGAAAAAACTTGATTGTCTTTCCAAAGTGTATGGCCTAAAATGATTCCCTAAACATCTACTGTATAAACGTTTTACCATTTTCAAAAATAGAACTTAAACTCGAGTTCATTGTCCTCGATCACGTCTAACCAATTTCATTACCGATATCTGACCATATTTAATTGTTCTTGAGGGTGTGGATGTGGGTGTGAGTGCTGTTCTTTTTTCACGTCTAAACTCATAATCACACCCACACCCTCAAGAGCTTACATTCGATCAATTGTTCCTGAAGTTACAAGAAAAAGAACATAGTGAAATATCTGTTAAACAACTGGAAATCAAATTGATTCAATGTGAAAATCCAGTTGAATTACAAAGTCTGAACAATGATTTGATTTCTTCAAAAATAGATATATTTAACGCAGAAGAAATAATCAAGAGAACTTTTCAGTTCTATTTAGAATTTAAAGAAGATTTTAGTAAGATCCAAAAAATTACTATTTATAATTATTTTAATTCTTTATTTTTTGGAAAAGATAATGAAAAAGTTGGAATAAATTTCAGTCTTTTTTTTAAGTCATTTTTCTTAGTAAACATTGTGCCAACAGAAGTGATGAACGTCCTTTTAAATGATACCCTTTATATCGTTTTCATCTTTCTCCTTCCCTTTCCTTTTTTTTAGCTAGTTCTATCGTTTCATGTTCTCCCTTTCTCTCTCTAGTATATAAACCGGTGTTGTATGTTAAATAGTTACATTTGGATGTAGTATTTAGTCGAATAAACATCGTGCTTTAATGCACTATAACTATGTCTCTCCATTTGTCATAATGATGAGTATGCACCTGTAGCTCATTTATATCAATACCCAACCAGTGGTAGAGCTGCATATTCCATATTTTCCTTTACAAACATACTTGCGAAAGAAGAAAAACAAGAAAAAGTCTTTTTATTAATAAAAATTTATCTTTCAATAACTAGTTGTTTTTGTTTTATATTTTTAATATTCTTTTTTTCTTAACGTATAACTTTTTTCAAATTGTAGATAAATATGCATCAAATATTTGTATTTATTAGAAGAATCTTTCATATTATTTTAAAAAATCTATCATCTTAGATTGATATAGAAAAAGTTTTCTTTGTTTATATATTTCTAGAAAAAGATTATGTAGTCCTTTCCTCTTTGATTATTTCGATTTTCAATAATAGTTTTCTATTAATTTTACTTCCAAGAAAAAGTTTTAATAGTTTTCCAAAAGAAATATTTTTTTAGAACTTTTACCTCTGCCTATTTACTTTTTCCAATATTCAGCAATTAGTACACTGTAAAAATTATATTATATTATGTAAATGCTTTTTTTTCTTCTCTATCTGGACATATTAATGTTTATATTTACTCATAGAAAATCATTCTCTCTATATATATAGGATGAATAATTGGTTAGCGGTAGAAATAGCCATAGTAAATAATAAACAAAAAAGGATGTGGGTGTGGATGAGCACATATTATATGATAACTAACCCACATCCTCAAGATTATTCATCGTGTCCGCATCCTCAACAATATAAATTCTATCATCCTCATTATCAACATAAATACCATCAGGAAAATTTAGTTGATTAGATTTATTTCCTCGTCCATTTTCCTCCAATAACAGTCGATGCATTCTGCTTCCATTTTGTATTGTTATCA